ATATGTATATGTATATGTATATGTATATGTATATGTATATGTATATGTATATGTATATGTATATGTATATTGCTCCTGGAAGCACCAAGCCTGAAGTAGCCTGAAGATGACGAATGAGACTTCGTCGAAACGTCGCCAAGATATCTCCAATTTTACGCAGGAGAAAACCCGAATAACTAGAGACATACATACATACATACATATATATATTCTGATTGTGTAAATCAGTATTTTTCAAACTTGACAACTTTAAAATGAGTAGATTTCAATTCCCTGAATTCCCCAGCCAGCATGCTGGATTCATTTTATCAAGAAAATATTTTTAGATTCTTTCCTTTAAAGAATCATTTGTGAACAACAGATGCTACCTTAAAATTTTGAATTTAAGAGATGCAGCTATGGTGTGTATATAAGATCAGATATCAAAGCAAGAGGTTTCATGCTTAAGCAGAAATCTGATTAGAGTTCATTTTAAAATCAGCTTATATATGTCTTAACAAAAGCAATTTGAACTAAATCTACTAAATTAGAATTACAATAGAGTTTGAAGAAAGGGATTTTAAATTTGCTTTCAGAGATAAGGCTTTTAATGTAAGTAATTAAAAGAATGAGTCTGTGATGATACCTCTCTTGATCAAGATGAAAGGGAAGATGACAGTAGCAAGGTAGATAGACTCCGAGTATTGAAGAGTGCACTGATGAAAAATTGGGAGAACCAAGTTGGAAAAAACATCGTATTTCTGTGATGCTAAGAATTGACACTAACTTAAAGGAACATAGTCAATTAATCAAGAATCCTGTTTGAGACTATTGGTCATTAAACCTACTAGTGCAATTAAAATCATCATTATAGGCAAAAGACTCATAGCTGCCTTGATTTCATTGCCTTTGTGGTCTTCCATTAAGTGGAATATAGCAGGTGTGTTAAATAAGTTACAGAATGTAAACTGGATAAGGCTTTAAAAGGTGTGTAGTTCTCCGCTTGCAATTCAGGTTTTCCTTTTGCAAGTCCTTGTTAAACAGATAACTCATCATATGACTCAAGTTCACTATCATTTGACAGTATATTATATTGGCCGTATATCAAAGTCTTTTATATTGAGGCTTAACTGTGTGAGGGAAATGTTATGATGGATCAAGAAGTTCAAGGATAAACTAACATTGCGAAGCTGTCAGTTATGCAGGTTTTCTGCTTGGATCTGCTCTGGGTGGAAATTTGATGCAGATTAAAGGTGAAGATGGATTCCAGGACGCACATTGGCAACAAAAAAAGGTAGAGTGTGAGGAAGACAGGAGATTTCATGCAGGGTGGGGGACTTAGTGAATGGCAGGGGGGGAAGCAGCTCCCCTCCCATTCACTGTCCCCCTCCCTCCATGAGATCTCCCATTCCCATTTACTCAAGAAAAGTAAGCTCAGTTGAGGATAATTATTGGTTAGGAGAAAGGACTTGCTTTCCTGCTTGAAGCTGCATTTTGTTTGAATGTTTATTTCATTTGAATGTTTGAATGTTTATTTCATTTGTATGC